AACAAATCTTTTTTGTGAAAACGTGCAAATTTGGAAAACCAAGCAGTCTAAAGCAGTTAAGGAAAGCAACAAAAATATGCAGATGTTTTCCTCAGAATTTGCTCAGCTTTCACCAGTGGTCTAAGTTCTGAAAAACAAAAATTCTAGACTTGTTTATTTTAATTATTTTAACTCATAAAGACGTCTACCATCTTCAATTTACTTGGTTGGAAAACACTTCTCCTTGTCCAATGCAAACCTCCATATGGAACCTGTTGGTACTCAGTTTCACTATTACCGTTAGTTACATAGTTTATGAATCTTGAGACATTTCTAGACTCAACTGCAACTAAGATTAGATTTCTGAAACACTTTTGAGTAGGAGCTGCTGAATAGAATAGTAGTCTCTGTCTTTGGCTGAATCCATCTTACGCCCGTGAGTCTCTTCATCCGAAAATGTTGCTGACAAAGTTGTTGAAGCCCGATGTAATGCTGGAGAAAATCCCGCCGTCGGACGCTGGTTTATTGGTGTGTGGTGAACTATGTTGGCTATGGTAGGAGGGGCTTGGGCCAGGTCCAAGTCGGTCTCCCACAGTGGGATGGCGGTAGAGATTATCGTTGCGCTGGGAGAGAAAATTTAAGATTTAAGACGTGCTTCACACTCATCTTCTACAGAGTCTGGCATTTGTCTAAGTGACAGGAAAAACCGGGGGTGAACTACATGATTACTAAAATTGTCCGCCCCTCACGGTTCCTGTATTTGCTTTAATAAAATGATTTCAGGACTTTTTATTGTTGGAACAAGAAAGGAAAGACCAGCAATTAAAGTAAATGTTACATTCTTTACATTAGAGAGGGAAAGAAAAAAGAGTTAATGTAAAGCGATTAGAAGACTCACTTAAACTTGGAACAAAAAACTAACCCATGCATTAATAATATATAACCTACAGGATGTATAGGTGAGTGGTATGCATGTTAAAGATATTCTCAGAAAAATACAAAAGCACTAAACTTTAAAGACAAGTAGTTTTCTTTGTATAGTGTAAAGTTCTAGAAGTGATCAGAGACGGGTTAGTTCAGTTAGATGTACTCACAAGGAAATAGCACGGTGTCAGCAGGTGTGACCCGCACCGATGGAATGCCGGTTAAGAAGGGTGTGGACGGCACATATACAAAAGACTGGGGGGGAAGGACAGGTCCAACAAAGGTTGTGTCCAAGCCGGTGGTGTCCAAGGTCTGCACAGACACCTATTTACATCTACGAATATGTTGAATAGTGCAATGTTTGCAAAATATGCAATACCAGCACAGCAGACTACTTGTATTCAAGCTATGACACAGATCACAGAAGTAGTAAGCCAACCCATCACCATTTGTTATGTTCAGTGCAGTAGTATGTTATGCTGTGTTGCAGAGGACAAGATAAAAGGAATTAGGATTTTATTTTTCCCTGCTGTCGAGCGAAGAACTTTATTAAAATAGACTTGCAGATGCATAAACTTTTGGGGACTAGTAAGAAAATCACAGAAAGGGGTGGCATTCACATTTGTTTCCATAAGAACTACTCCAACTAAAATTCTTTTTTATGCTACCTACAAAAAATTTAATGGGTTTACAATTTTATTCCAACAAGAAATAGAGGCAAGGTTGAAGTATCAACTTGATGAAAAATATATTTACCTCTTATTTTTTGTTGGGTGGCATGGTGACTGGTAAAATCAACCATTCTAATTTGAAAAATTTAGAAAGATTGCTCTTTAGAAAATCTTAAAATGCAGCTTTATGTCTATAAAATACAAAATCCTCTCAGTAAAATTTCACACCATTGCCAAGGACCTTTGAATTTGTGACTCAATGGATCCAACAATTAAACCATTTAATTCTACTATACAGAATTTGAGTTAGACAAAAATACTAATTACTTCAAAAGAGTGCTTAAAATTCACCAGTACATCTAGAAAAGCTGTACTATCTCAAATTATTTTAGAAATAAGAGTGTAAAGTTGTTTATTCACTCACTTTCTTTTTGTTTAAAATCTACACATTACTCAGTAGAAAGTTTATCTAAAAGTTCAAGGATGGTTTAAGTTGCTGAGGAATCGTATTTTGAAAACGTCACGTTGGTCCCGTGTCTGTTTGATCAAACTGTTGAGATGTAATCACAAGGATATATTTAGTGGAAAATTGGACCATTTAACTAAAAGAAGGGCGTGGCGTATCCTTCTACCTTCAAAAGACTCTCCTAGTACATTCTGGTAGGAAGTATTGTCACGCAAAGTGATCCTCACCAACAAAGCTAGCACCTAGTATTTGAGTGTTTAATGGCATGACCTTTAGGTCCATAAATCTATCAGAATGCAATAGATTGCCTATCTTAGCAAGGGCTCGATCATTTATACAAAACCAAAAAATATGCATCTGATTGCATTTCAATTTAACACCTTGATTCCCAGAGAATTCAAGAAGGGTGGCATTCACCAGCAAGGCACTACCATCATAAGTGGAAACGTGGGACTCAGTGTGTTAAACTGCCACATCATCATCCTACCATATACAAGTGCCCAGGGAATGTGAGCTGAGAAAATACTGTGCGCAAGAATAATTGCAAGAGTCAAGTGACTTATGAGGGATCTGCTACTTACAAACCAAAATATAATGACATCACATGCATCTTATTTATAAACAAGTCAAAGAGGGTCATTTCCACATCAAGATAAAGATTTGTTTTCTTAAAACAGAAGAAGAAAAACAGCTGAGAAAACCTTGCTGGGCTCAGGCTCAGCTCAGCTCAGGCTCCCAGTCCCTGGATTCACAGCCAAGCATCGCCCATCACCATCACAACCACCATCACCACCTCCACCATCACTACCCACCACCACAATCGATCTTCTCTTAGCAGACCATATCTTCAACTACAACAAACATCACAACCAACACCACCACGATCCAGTACATCCCCGACTGAGGCCGTTGGCAGTCAGCAGCACGAGCAGGAGCGATGCTCCGGGTGAGGGGAGGGGGAGGGGTGCGGACGAGGGGTAGTGGCGCGGCGACGGTGTCGGGTAGCGACTCGTCAGCTGGTGCTTGGTCGCCGCTGCGCTGCCCCCGGAGCCACCCCCAGTCCCGGCCGCTCCCCCGCGGTCCGATCCTGATGACGATGAGGACCACCACCAAGCGGCCGCCGCCGCCGCCCACCGCCACCCGCTGCTGTTATCCTCGCCGGCGGAGAAGTCCGGCACGGGCCAGAGGGGCGGCAGGGACGGCGGCGACGCGTAGCTCACCGGGCCTACCTTGGCGGGGTGCAGCGTCACGTTGAGCAGCGTTGGGTGCTGCTCCACAACCATCAGGTCGACCTCGCGGGGCAGGTAGCCCTCCGCGTACACCTGCAACGGGAGACGGTTATGCGCGGGCTGGACGCCGGGCTGGACGCCGGGCCGTGGGCCGGGCCGCTCTTCTGACGGCACTGCGGGCGGAGCGGATAACTCACCTCCAGCTTGTAGACTCCGGGCAGCAGGATGCGCCAGAACTCGCCGTACTTTGTGGTCTGGAAGCCGACGTCGCGCCCCTTCACCTTAAGGGCGGCCTTCTCGACGGGGTTGCCGTTCTCGTCCATGACGAAGCCATGCACGCCGCGGTGCGCCTCGGCCAGGAACTTGACCAGCGACTGCAAAACGACATCGGGTCGTACAGCCACGCCGCCGAGGGTGTGAGGAGTGCAAAGTCAATGATGGGTCGATCGTGTCGCCGACTCGCACTCACCACTCTGTTCTCCTCCCAGAACTTGGGCAGCTCGGACGCGGGTGGGAACTTGCAGCACGACAGCTCCAGGGTCACCTCCATGCAGCCGTACCAGACGTAGTTAAAGTCTTGCATGCCACCTGGGAGGGAGAGAGGAGTACAAAGGCGTTAGCTCGCGGTACGGAGCGGCAAGTGTATTCACGGTGCTGGTGTTTGTTTCTACTGCAAACCGACCGGTGAGCGGGTACCACTCGGCGCCGTTGGTGATGCCCCGGTTGAAGGCGGGAGTGCCGGCCTTGCAGGCCACGCCGCGGCTCATGACTGGGTGGTTCGACGAGTAGGTGATGGCGAGGTGCTTGAACACGTCGTCGTCGGGTGTCAGCGACGGCGTCGACGCGTAGTTTTGGAACACTGCAACGAAAGCAATCGCGTGTCATATATTTGCCTGTCGTGTCGTGTCCTCTCATGCGACCTTATTGGCTGGGAATCAGTTTGGTTGTTGCGACTCGGCGGCCCCTGCAAGGGGTGGCTCACCTGAACACAGTGGGGTGGATCGGCACATTCCTTTCCGGCAGCAAGACAGGGCAGATACACGTTCAACTCACATTCACCCAGAAATGTTCGCAACAAAATCCCAGTGCGACAAAGTAATAGCTACGGAATGACGTGATAGCCTCGTGGTTTCATAGAAATGTTATTGTACCACCCCTTCTAGATACTTGGGCACTTGAAGTACTCACTTGAGTTGGGAGTGTTGTCGAAGGGGTAGCTGGCGACCAAGGCGCCGCCGTGGAGACCACCAGAGAGCACGAACTGGATCTTGGAGGTCCACTCCTTGACGGCGTCCGTCTCAGGCTGGCCTCGCTTGTTGTTCTACAAGTAGAGATACAATGCGTCGTCAGTCTCGTCCGGAGGTTTAGTCCCACCCATGCGAAATAAGTGTCCAAACGATATCGGAACACTGCCAGGCTACTGCCGATTGTGTTCTTATCTTGCGTGCATCGTTTTGACAGTTACTTCTCAGTGCAGTGAGTAAGAGCAGTCAGAATGCGACTCTTCATTTGACTTACCCGATCCCCTGCCTGTTAACGCATCCGTGAGGAAAGCACAAAACCAGGAGAGAAAGAACGCTCTAGTATTCCAACTTTTCAATATGCATGGCGTACTCACAGATGCCCACATTGTCCGCCCACCACGCGCTTGAGCGCGCTTGAGTTAGTCTTACCTGCTTGAAGTAGTCGGGGAAGTTCCTGTTGAGGTCGAAGCCCCTGGCGTTGTACCGGCCCTGGCCGCCGTCGCACTGGCCCTCCCGCGACACCTCGAAGCCGTCGGGGTTCATGGAGGGCAGTATGTGGATGCGGGTGTTGTCCAGCAGCCACTTGATGTAGGGGTCCGTCTCGTAGCTGTTCACCAGGTACTGCGAAAGAGGAGTGAGGAGCGTGAGTAGAGTACCCTCGCTCGAGTCATGCGAGTCACCGTGTCCGGCTGCGCCGGCGTACCGTACCTGGATGAGATGCAGCATCAGCTCGCGGCCCACCGCCTCGTTGCCGTGCATGTTGGCCACGTACTTGACGTCCGGCTTGCCGATCATGTGCTCGTAGGGCGAGGCGGACACCACCATCACCCAGAGGTCACGACCTGCGGGAAGAAGAAAGCAGGTGTCGTTCTTCTGCCAAACTCTAACTTGTAAACGCGAGGAGGAAGCCATACAACTACCCTGCTGTTGGGGTAGTCATGAGTCTCCCCCCCCCC